TTAATTTCCAGTTTTGCGATAAGAGATACAAAAAAGCTAGCTGGAAGAATTCCTCGCCTGAACCGCTCACTTAAGCCAGACCCTAGCTCAAGCAGTCGTCTTAGTATGAAATCTAGATCGATTAATTGTAGGCACTGATGAAATAAGGAATATACATCAACTTATACTGCTAAGGAACTTACTTCTCGGAAAATAACTGGTAGACCCATAAATGGCGTATAGCTCATGCAGTGTACATAGAAGTCGCTCAGAGACTTCCCCTTCGTATTTGAATTCTACAAGAAGATTAAAAATACTATAAATGAAAAGAAGAGAGTAGGTGTCAACAAAATGTAAACTTCAAACCGGCTTACCTGACTGCAATATATTTTCCCATACTGCCATTATAGGTTCGTCACTGTACAAATTAGCGCAATGGAATATTGCTAACTGGATCTTGTAAAGACCGTAAGGGGCCTGGAAAACTTGTTAGCATCAAAAAACCAAAAGAGAATTATAAAAAGATAACAATGTCAAAGATATAAAAAAAACTACTCTTGTAAAAGGTTAAATAAGTAATGGTAAGAACTAATATTTGGGTGAGTAATAAGTTAAAGGATTTCCAAATTGAAAGCATTGCTCACGGCAAATTTCTCCAGTAACAACTGTAACGAGAGAATAGGCCCATCAAGTAGTTTAACCAATTCTTGCTGCTTGGGTGTTCGAATATCCATGCATTCCCTTAAAATGAGATTTACTTTTTTTTTCAAATTTCAGAGAAATTTGCCAAAAACATACTTGATCGCTAATTGTATATGGGCAACTTCAACTTTATCCCGCAACTCTTGTATCATGGCTTTCGTCTTTGGATCACTACCAGCTTGAGCACAAATGATTGCATGCGATAAGTATGCAAATCGTTGCGATAGAGAGATCTCTTCGCTAAAGTAGAATATCAAACAATTGAGGAAGAACTCAACTTAGGAGATACTAATTTAAAGAATAACAAACTTCTCATTGTCAGCAAGCCTACTTAGCAGCGTCGCAGCTTTGTCGTAGTGCCCCGCTTTCTCGTAGAACCGCCACAAAAGATCCAAATATCTCTGACCTCGTCCAGAGCTGATTTCATGGGTGAGAAACTGCTCAACAAAAGGAGACTTGCTCTGAAATAAAGCTCAACTGGTTAAGTCCAGTTTTCAAATTGAAAGAAACAAAGAAAATTACACAATATGCTGGAATTGAGAGCAAATCACCCTTCTCATAACTAAAAGACAACGCTCAGAAATTTATCAACTCTGTGTGTACTACAAGTATTTTGAGGCAGCTTTCGATGAGAAGGCGTCAAACTTGTCTAATTTCTTTGAAATTGCACAAGACCTGCTCCATGGCCAGATAGAATGCGTTCCAACTTTGAAAACCTTTTTTTGTGTATATCGTTGTTAGAGAGCAATGCTTAGTGTACCAAAAAAAAAGAAAGAGGACAAACAAAGGCAAACAGTCGCCTGAAACTCTCTGAGGATGAAAACATAGAGAAATGTAAACAGAGGATGACAGCCAAAAAAAACCAGACAGAACTCAAAGGCAAAATATTAATCACATATAATAACAGAAGCAAAGACTTACTTGCAATATGAGATTCGCTTTTCCTCGTTCCAACATCCATCGAAACAGCGCAGCATGCGCTAGTTCGTCATCGCTAGAAGTTATGCAAGACATTATCAGGTCACAGTTTACAGCCTGAATAAACGCATTTTATCAACGATTTCTACACTTAAATAACCACTTTTCAAGGGAAAAAATAACCCCCTGTTACTCTG